TAATTTGCTGCTATGATACACAAATTGAAACATAACTAATTATCTCTGCACAGGAATCCTCTGAACTGGAAAAGAAGCAACACTTTCTAATACTCATTAGTTTGGAAATTGAAACTTTGAATCATTAGAACTCGTTAGCAGATTTTATGCTGATTCATTTTTTAAAACTTAAAATAGTGATTGAGTTTAATTTCTGAGATCTTGTTTTTCCATTTTATTACCAAATGTAATTAGTTGACTTCATTTGGATCCCATTTCCATGTTTTACTGCTTGCACATATTTTTCCCATTTAAGAAAATCTTTTATCTCTGCATCTTTCATTATTTCATTGTTACAACAACTATATTAAATACAATGCATAAAGAGAGCAAGTTTAATAAGATAGCTGGGTTTTCCCTTCATGTGTATTATCAATTATTCAAAGTGCATTTTTCATAAGGTGTCAACTTTAAAATAAATACAAGCTAATTTATTATCTATGTCAGCATATTCCTCAGATGGTACATGTAATGCTTCAAAAATTAAGGCCTTTATATTTGATTGAACAAATGACAACTTAGGCACGAGTCAATAGTCCTCCCGTCTACCATTCCCACAAAGACCTGTGTGTCTGTCCGTAGAGAATGTTCTTAATGAGCTCTCTGGGTTCTATACACCAGGTACTCTGCTGTTTCTCTGAGATCTGCAGTTGCTTTGGCATTTTAATGAGACTATTTCCTAAGGATCTTGATAAAACATATTCTGCTTTCAACATGGTTTGCTCCCCACCCCCCCAATCAGTACATTTCTATAGAATCTCTGGAAAGACCTGTCTTGGCCTATTTGCCTGGCATAGAAAGGCAATAAAGTGTAGTCCAGGTGAAGCTCCTGGATTCAGGTGTTGTCATCTGTGTTTAAATCCCAGCTCTACCACTTAGGGGGATGTGACCTGAAGTTACTGAAACTCTACTTTACATCTCTTACTTGTAGGACAAAGTTACCAATAGTACATACTTCACAAGCTGTTAAGTAGATACAAGTTAAGGGCTTAGAAAAGTATCAAACATACAGAAAGGTGCTAAAATGCTAAAAAAAAAAAAAAAAAAAAAAAAGGATTAGCTATTTGTTCTAAGCTGGTATCACATTGGACCAACAAGAGTTATTATTGTTGGGTGTAATAATCCTTTTATTGGTTTGACATTTCAAAGGGATTATTTCTCCTAAAAGGATTATGCGTACCAGAGAATGGGGAAGGTCTTTGCTGACTTCTACTATATCCCTCAAGTTATTTAGAATAAGTTTGGGTTTCATTCTGGAATCTTCTTTGTTGCACTTGGTTATATTTATTATCTCTAGGTTTTTGAAAGATGTTAAATAATTTGCCCATAGTTTTTATTGTTCTGAACTTTTGCATTAAAGGAAATGGGTTCCTAAATCTTCACCTATCTGAAGTTTCCATAACTTTGCCAATCATACTGGTACCAGTATTGAGAGTTAATAAGATAGATCTTTCAATTTGTAGAAATTCCATAGTTAATATTTTTAGGTTTTTTTAACATTTAAATTTATTTGAAGGGCAGAGAGAGATATTTCATCCAATGATTCATTCCTCAAGTGTCCAAGATGTCCCAAAGTCAGGAGCAGGGAACTCAAAGTCTCCCACATGAGTGGCAGGAATAAAAGTATGTGAACCATCACCCTACAGTCTCCCAGGGTGTATATTAGCAAGAAGCTAAAAAGGGAAGTGGAGCCAGGACTCAAATCAATGTGGTGTCTTAATCACGGTACCAAAAACCCACTTTAATTACAGAATTTTTATCTTCCTGTATTGCAGGTACATCAGAACTCAACAATTCCACAGTGTTATGAACAAACATAAAGATAGTTTTATGGGCTATATCTGAAACTCCTTTAAGTCTAACTCTGTCCAAAAAAAGAGAATTTGAGTTCTTAGTTTTTAAGGAACATTACAGATTGGATGTCTGATTCTCCAGCTATGAGTAACCTATCTCCAGAGGTTATTCTCAGTTCTCTCTATTCTCATTGGCTATCCTGATTTTTGACTTAGCTAGTGATCTGAATTTAAAGGAAGAATTTCTCTCTAAGCTCTTCCTTCACAAAAAAGATGAAGTGGCTCCTTCATTCCATAACTTATTGAGCTAATATATACCTGAGTTTCACTGAAGAATGTCTACCTTAGTTTTCCGCAAGTCACTTTACTGAAATTTCTGAACTTTCAAAGTAGAATTTAAACTTGGAATATCTATGTTAGCTCTAGTTATTGTTGTAAAATTGGTCTGGACTACATTCCATATAAGCTAGTATCATCCTATGGGTTATCAAAGTTATCGGTGCCCTCTGGATGGGGGTGACATGGCTTTAAGTTACCTTAGAGGGATCCATTTATTTTTTAAAACACATTTCTAGTGAGCTTTTTTCCTTTCATTTTAACATTATCTACAGAACTGCTTTTAACAGGAGGCTTAGAATTTCCTTCTTGTTGGATCTTTTAAATATAGGTATTATTTTTCCAGGATGAGTTATTGGTCTTATAGTATATCCTTAAGTTTCTTTTTAATTTTTTAATTGCAAATCATTTTCATTTTACTTGAAAGGTAGAGAGATAGATGAGGAAAGAGATTTTCATCCACTAGTTCACTCCTTAAGTACAACTGCCAGAGTTGGGCCAGGCCAAAGCTGGGAGCCCAGAACTGTTTGGGTCCCCCAGGTGGGTGGCAGGTAGCCAAGTAACTGGGCCACCATCTTCTGCCTCCCAAGGTAGGCATTAGCAAGAAGCTGGAATCAGAAGTGGAGCATGGATTCAAAGTAGGCACTCTGGTATGGGATGTGGGTGTCCCAAGTGACTTCTTAACTGCTGTGCCAAATGCCACCCGAGTTCCTTTTGCAATAGCTTCTCCAAGTATCTGCTGAAGGGAAACCTCTGGGGTAGGGAGGGGCCTTTAAATATGGTTCCATAATTGAAGAATACTTAAGAGAAAACTTCAAATCAGAGGTTCAGCAACAGGAAGCAAAAATGTGATTACCACTTATAATTTAAGTAAACAAGAAAGAAGAGCTTTCATAATTGCCACTAGTGTTTATGTCTTGGCTTGTCTTTGATAACTTCTGCTAAAATTCCCAATCTTATTCTATCAGAAATTCTCCTAAATCCATCACTGTTAGGTTTATTCCTTCTCTGATCAACTTCCTTCTTCTCCTGGTAATGATCCCCTCAGTAGGGGCCCTGTTCCCCATCACCAGGGAGGTCAATGGCTGAGATAAGATGACCTAGGGAAAAATGTAAGACCACCCAGAGAAATGGCTTCCACCTGCAATTGATTCAGCATCCAAAACAAAACTACTGTGGACAGGGAGATGCTGGATCCCATTAACAAAAGGAACAAAGGAATCAAGCCCCTAACACCTGGGCCCTTAGAGGTCATCCAAATGATTTTCCAGAAACACTGGGTTTTGTGTGTTAATTTCATAACCTGTGACTTCACTGCATTTGTTTATCCATTCTAACAGCTTTTTGATGGCATGGTTAGGTTTCTCTATATACAAAGTCACGTCATCTGCAAATATGGGTATTTTGGTTTCCTCTTCCAATTTTGATGTCCTTTATCCCTTTCTCTAACTGCTCTTGCTAATGCTTCCAGTATTATATTGAATAAGAGGGGTGAAGGTGGACATCCTTGTTGTTTCAGATCAGACCAGTGAGTATATCAGGTGTTGTCATACATAGCCTTTGTAATTTTGAGGTATGTTTCTTCTATATCTGATCTGTTTTTTATCCTGAAAGGATGCTGCATCTTATCAAATGCTCTCTGCATTTACTGAGATAATCATATGATTTCTATTAATCCTGTTTATGTTGTACCACCCTTACATCACAGGGATAAAACTCATTTGTATGATCTTTGTGATGTAGTGTTGGATTCAGTTTAATATTTTTGTTGAGTTTTTGCATCTATGTTCAGCAAGGATACTGGCTATCCAAATCCTAAGATTCCAGGGAAGGGGAATCATGATTAAAGTCTATGCTATTGCACATGTAAATTTCTTTTAACAATGGGACAGCTTCTCAGAATAACTCAGAGAAAATACTCCAAAAAAGTAATTTGGGAGTGGCATAGCCTATTAGTCATAATTTGGGGTGGTGTCATGAGCCCCAACATCTTCAATCCTCATTCCTTTTTTAAAAGACTTGTTTGAAAGGCAGGGCGAGAGAGAATCTTCCATTTGCTGGTTCACTCCTCAAATGGCCACAATAGCCAGACCTGACCAGGCTGAAGCCAGAACCAAGTAGACAGTCACTTAAAAGATTTCCTGAGGAAGCTGGAGGAGTTCTAGGAATTTACTGCAGACTCAGCACTAGATTTTGAAAACAGGACTTTCAAGTCAGCTAAAAAGCTCCCAAGGGAGGAAGAGGAGCCAAGAGAGAATAGAGCAATTTTGATCATTTTCAAATATCTCATTATCAGGTTCCAGCTGGAACAAACAGTAATTATTCCTGTAATACCAATTTTTTTTAAAGCAAAAGTTACTTACCAAGTGATTCAGAACCAAGACCAATAGGCTTTTATGGTCTAATGAGGATGCACCACAATATCTCCAAAGAAGTATAAAGATGCAATGCCCTCAGGTGCACCATCCCCAAAGACAGTCAAAATACACTCAAACAACCCTGGAACACTGGCATCCTAATCATATTTGACTGACCATCTGATACAAGCTGACACTTGCACCCTCAGCTGGCAGAGACCAGAGAGAACATTCTCATTGGTCCCAGAGCTCAAGTCTTTGAACTTAGAACAAGATGAAAGGAGAATCTCATCTGTTTTTGTCAGTGGCCCAAAGTAAAGTCTGTCTATACAGATGCTAGTCTGGTTAGAACTGTAAATTTACTAGTCTGTGAAGTTCAAGTGATATACTTCCCATTAAGTCTCAAGTTGTCAATTCTGTAACTAGTTCAATGAAACTGACACAGATACATTAAAATACATGGGAAATCATAATCTAGAGCTTACATATCCTTTATTATTAAAAATGAACACTGCCCTGTAAATAGAAACTGGGACAATATAGTAGTTTTTACATCTATAAGCCACAATATACAAAGAAGTGACATTCATGACCTGTTCAACAATTATTTTTGGTGGAAAGGAACAAAACACAAGGTATTTTACAATTTGGACAATATGTTGTTGGTTTCCTGTGATGTTTTTTCTCTTATTTGAAAGGCAGGGTGGGTGAGAGTGAGAGTGAGAGTGAGAGTGAGAGAGTGAGAGAGAGAGATCTGAGATCGAGGTTGAGATCTTCTATCTGCTGCTTCACTCGCCAAATGGCTGCAACGGCCGGAGCTGTGCTGATCCGAAGCCAGGAGCCAGGACCTTCTTCCAAGTCTCCTACATAGGTGCACAGGCCAAGTGTTTGGGCCATCTTCCACTGCTTTTCCAGGTGCATCAGCAAGAAGCCAGATGAGAAGTGGAGCAGCCAGAATGCAAACTGGTACTGATATGGGATGTCAGTGCCGTAGGCAAGTGGTTTTACCCACTATGCCACAGCATTGGCCTCAACATGACTTGCTTTGATATCATCGTTCTTGCTACTTGAGAATAATATGGTTTCTCATGTAACATCTGATATCATCTTGGATAACAGTAGTTCTGGGAATATTGAGTTTTCTTTCTCATTGCATCATTTTAGGTATGCTGAGCAGACAGTTCTTGAAATCCAACAAGTTTATGAGATCTTCGTTCAAGTTTGTCAATAATCCACATACTTATAATACACGCATCAATTATCTGAGTGAGCAAAAGCCAATTCCATTTTCTACTTCTAATAGTGTGGAATATTTGATTGTTTTTTCATCAATGTTGTCTGTTTCAGAGTACACTTGTTTAGTGTGTTTTCCCTCATGGTGTGCCTTGGAATCCAGTATTTTGAAGAAATACCACAAGTCATAACCAGTGAGCACACTATTGTAAAAAAAACAGTTTGATCATGGATTTTCTACCACTTTTCAACCAATACCCTCAAGTGGAGACAGCGGAGTCCGTCAGACTGCCGTGTACTACACTACACATAACTCTGCAGTACACACTGCCACGCTGTTTGCAGGACGGCTATTTTCAAACACGGATAACGTGAGACACATTATCTCCTTGATACTTCCACGAATGCATCTCATACTACATATCAGTTATGTACACATTTCTTTTGTTCAGTTGAAATTTAGCAAAATTAACTTGTAGTAAAGTTCATGCCATTACCATAATGAATTAAAAAATATTTCCAAATGTTCTAATCAACATCAGTTACTTTTCCCAAAAGAACAGAACTCTAAAAAAAATTTATTTCAAAACTATCCTAAGTGGTATATTTATTGCTCAATTTAAGTTTTTATAGGTATCCTATATTTAGGATGACAAGACAAATGGGTTGACAAATGACACAAAAGACATAGGAAAAAAAAAGACCACCTCTAAAAGACTAAAAATCAATAATCAACATGTACCCAAACCAAATCCACAAGAGTCAGAAGTTCAATTTTCTACAATTGTTTTTCTTCTGCCAGTCTCAATGGAAAGGAAAAGAACAAAGCAAAGTCCTAACCTTCTCATTCCCAGGGATTATACTACACTACACAGGGAAATCTGGGAAAGATGACTTTGGTAAGAATTCTTTCTCTTCTGGCTTCTGCCAGTTCTCCCAGAATCCCATTTCTCTGGATCAGGAGTGCCTGGAATGTCCCAGAAATTCCTGCCTGAACTGCAAAAAACTATCGGGGGATAAATAATTTCCTCTCAACCCTGACAAGTTCATAGTTGTAACAGACTCCTGTAATGAAAAGATTAACAAGAGCAGAAGTAGCCAGTTTGTCAGCATGTGTACTGCACACCATATAAGAAACTTCAATGAAAGGTAATTCAAAGCAGGGGCTTGGGACTATGGCTTATAGTGTATCTTCAATGCAGAACAATATGTTGTTGGGGAAATGACAACACAAAAGAAGGCAGTCTTAGGCTTCCAGAAGGAGGAAAGGTGAAGAAGGGACATATATAAGTAAATTAACTGCTATGGCCTGGGAAAGCAGTAGAAGATGGCCCTAGTCTTTGGGCCCCTGCACCCACATGGGAGACCCAGAAGAAGCTCCTGGCTCCTGGCTTCGGATCGGCGCAGCTCCAGCTGTTGCGGCCATTTGGGGAGTGAACCAGTGGATGGAAGACCTCTCTGTCTTTCCCTCTCACTCTGTGTAACTCTGACTTAAAAATAAATAAATCTTAAAAAAAAAAAAAAAAAAAGGAAGTAAACTAAGGGAGTAACGTTTGCCTGCAGTGTCCATTGGGGGCCATATCTGAGCTGGTGAGAATTATTTCCATTGAAAGAGAGGTGTGGGGAGAGGGAGACACCTTTATAAATTTATGTCCTGCTTTTAGGCAAACCAGGGGAAGACAGAAAGCTTTTCTGAGCTTCCTCTTATCATCGTTTCAAAGATATTTATGCCAAAGTGGCATATTCTAGAGTGATATATTTTGCTTTCCTCTATACCACACAAAAATATTACAAAAATCTCAAAATATGTACAGACAATAGATGAGAATTATTTTTAAAAAGATATACATGACAGAAAAAACAAACTTGTTTTAATATACTATTTACATATTAAGTATAAACCATCGCAGTAAAAGCTTTCCGAACATTGGCAAGAAAAGCCGAAAAATTGTTGGTCTTCCTCACATTCTCCTGAAATTCCACAAGGCACTCGAGATGAGGAGCACTATCTGACACTAGAAGAGAAACAAATGCAAACGATTTGAATGAGGTTCTTTTCTGTATGGGACAGAAGTATTTCCAATTTAGATGAGCTCATCAGATTTCAGTATCGACTCAGAATTTTATTGGAGTGTTTTGAGAATAAAATTAGACCCTTCATTTTTATATCCTAACTATCTTTTGGACCTCTCCTGTAAAACTCAAAATAGTCCTATCTTGAATATTACACTTTGCTTTACATTTAAACAAATGGCACTCAGGGGATGGAAGAAGTGAATGATGCAGAATGCCGTTCCCCATCACCTTCAATCTACACATTTAAACTATTTAAGCTGCTTCAATACCTGCTAAGTCATGTTTTTCAGCAAAACTTCAGCCTCACTGACTTCTAGTTGCTGCCCAATGGATTAAAAAAAGAACATCTTTCAATGCCAATTCTTAATAACTTCCAATTATGGAAAAACATATCTGAAGCTTTTACACATGAAATGGAGCTCATTAAAAACGTAGTGGTGATAAGGGCCCGGCACGTGGCACAGAAGGTCAAACCACCACCTGTGACACAGGTATGGCATATGGACACCAATGGAGGAGACCCAGATGAAGCTCCTGGCTTTGACCTAGCTCAGCCCTGACCATTGCAGCCATTTGGAGAGATAGCACATGAAAGATCTTTGTGCCTGCCTCTCTGTAACTCTGCTTTTCAAATAAAGAAGTCTTAAACAACAACAAAAGTGGTGGTGGGGCAGGCATTTGACCTGATGGTTAAGAAGCTGACTGAAGGCCGGAGCCAGGGCTCACTAGGCTAATTCTCCGCCTTGTGGCGCCGGCACACCAGGTTCTAGTCCTGGTCGGGGCACTGGATTCTGTCCTGGTTGCCCCTCTTCCAGGCCAGCTCTCTGCTGTGGCCAGGGAGTGCAGTGGAGGATGGCCCAAGTGCTTGGGCCCTGCACCCCATGGGAGACCAGGAGAAGCACCTGGCTCCTGCCATTGGATCAGCGCGGTGCGCCGGCCGCAGCCCGCCAGCCGCGGCGGCCATTGGAGGGTGAACCAACGGCAAAGGAAGACCTTTCTCTCTGTCCCTCTCTCTCACTGTCCACTCTGCCTGTCAAAAAAAAAAAAAAAAAGAAAGAAAGAAAGAAAGAAGCTGACTGGCGCACCTGCAACCCATCTGGGCATGCCTGTGTTGGAGTCACTGCTCTGCTCCCGATTCTAGCTTCTTGCTAATGTGCACTCTGAGAGGCAGCAAGTATAGTGGCATTCCAAGTAGTTGGCATCCAAGTAGTTAGGTCCCTGCCACCCATGTGGGAGATCTGGATTGACTTCCCACCTGCCTGCTTCAGTGTGGCTCAGCCCCAGCTGTTGCTGGCATTTGGGGAATGTACCAGATGTGAGCTCCCCTTGTCTTTCTCTCTCTGTGCCTATCAATTTTAAATAAAGGAAGAAAGACATCTCTTTTTTAAAAAAAAACATGACTGCTATTCCAACAGTGCTATTCACAGAACTTATTAATCAAATGAGAAAATTAGAGAAAGCTATAAATTAGAAAGGTAGGTAGGTAGGTTTCCTAGATTGATATTTAGAAAATCTAGCACTCACAGAAAAAACTAAGCACTTGTATATGAATTTATTCCCAAAATGTAAATTCTGTAAGAACAGGATCCGAGTCAATAGGACACAAGCCAGCAATTGATCTGAGAATCTGTCAAGCTATAAATGTTTAAGATGAAAGCACAGGTGTTAATGACCCGAAAACCATTTTAGCGAATTCCCATAAAGATTACAAGTACAAGGAAATTAGAAGAATAAAACTAAACTATACCATCAATGTGTGGCATTTTCAAGATGTGAAAGTTTTTAATTATTCTGAGAAAAATTATAATATTCTGATGTTGTTGCATTTGATTTTTAAATCATCTACACAGGTAAGTTACAATATTCACATTTAGGGGGCTACAGCCTTTACAAAAGCTTTAGTTTTCACTTTAAATATTTTTTTATTTATTTAATCACTCATTCTGAGGGGGAAAGTGACAGAGAGCTTTCATTGTCTGGTTCCTTTCCCAACTTCCTACACTGGCTGGTTCTGGGCAAGCCAAAGTCAGAAGCCATGACCTCAATCCGGGTCTCCTACATGGCTGGCAGGAATTTACCCCAACTACTAGCACTGCCTCCCAGGCTCTGTATTAGCATGAAGTTGGGGTCAGAAGCCTGGGTTGGGTATCAAACCCAGCATTGATATGAGATGAAGTGTCTTTTTGGTTTTAAATGAAAACACCTGTTCGTTTATTAAGCACCCACAGAGTGCCAGGCACTGTACAAAACACTGAAACATTTTCATGCTTTAAGAATGAAATTGGGGGTCAGCACTGTTGCGCAATGGGTTAACACCCTGGACTGCAGCACAGGCACCCTATATAGGCACTGGTTCGAGTTCCGGCTGCTCCACTTCCAATTCAGCTCTCTGTTGTGGCCTGGGAAAGCTCTGGAGGATGGCCCAAGTCCTTGGGCCCCTGTATCTGCGTGGGAGACCTGGAAAAAGCTCCTGGATCCTGGTTTCAGATCAGCTCAGCTCTGGCCATTGCAGTCATCTGGGGAATGGACCAGCGGACGGAAGACCTCACTCTCTGGCTCTACCTCTCCCTGTAACTCTGCCTTTCAAATAAATAGAATAAATCTTGAAACAAACAAACAAAAAGAATGAAATTGACTGTTCTTTTACATGAGGTTGACATCTTAGTTCCAATGTCACAAAAATTACCATACCTTCAAGCCTTGCTCAAGAAACAAGTTTTGATTCCATAAAGGTAGAGCACGTGGGGGCCAGCACTGTGGCTTAGTGAGTTAAGCTGCCACCTGTGACACTGGCATCCCATATGGGCACCAGTTTGAATCCACTTCCGATCCAACATTAGCTCCCCGCTAATAGTCTACTAAAGCAGTGGAAGATGGTCCAAGTGTTTGGGTCCTTGCACTCACGTGAGAGATCTGGAAGACCCTCCTGGCTCCTGGCTTCAGCCTGGCCCAGCCCCAGGCATTGCAGCCATTTGGGAAGTGAACCAGAGAAAGATCTTCATATTTCCTTTTCTCTGACTTTAAAATAAGTAAATAAATCTAGGCCAACGCCTCGGCTCACTAGGCTAATCCTCCACCTGCAGCGCCAGCACCCCAGGTTCTAGTCCCGGTTGGGGTGCTAGATTCTGTCCCGGTTGCTCCACTTCCAGTCCAGCTTTCTGCTGTGGCCCGGGAGGACAGTGGAGAATGGCCCAAGTCCTTGGGTCCTGCACCCGCATGGGAGACCAGGAGGAAGTGCCTGGCTCCTGGCTTCGGATCGGCACAGCGCGCAGGCCATGGTGACCATTTAGGGGGTGAACCAACAGAAGGAAGACCTTTCTCTGTCTCCCTCTCTAACTGCCTGTCAAAAAAAAAAAAAAAAAAAAAGAAGAAAAAAAATAAATCTTAAAAACAAAAAATGGGGCTGGCACTGTGGTGCGGTAGGTTAAGCCTCCACTAGGGCATCAGGATCCCATATAGGCACAGGGATGTGTCCCAGCTTGGGCCCTTGCACCTGCATGGGAGACTTGAAAGAAGCTCCTAGCTCCTGACTGGCCCAGCTCTGGCTGTTGTGGCCATTTGGGGTGTGAACCAGCAGATGGAAGACCTCTCTCTAGCTCTCCCTCTGTCTGTAACTCTCTTAAATAAATAAATAAATCTTAAAAAAAAAAAAAACAACATGCAGATTAATGCAGATGTCAACTGGTGAAGTCTGTTCCACCAATACATGTAACATCCTCTCCCTCAGAAACCACCCCCTCTTCCTCCTCAGACGCCCCATCCCCGCCTCCTCTCTACCTCTAAAGCCACCACCTCTGCCACCTCCACCTCCTTCCTCCTCCTCAAGCTCCTCCACCACCGCCCTCTGCAGATCCTTTCTCATCTGGAGGTCAAGGTAAAAACCTCTGCAGTGGCCGTAGCTTATACGGGTCTATATAAAGGAATATGCCAGAACTGGAGCTGTGGCACAGTGGGTAACGCCACCACCTGCAGTGCCGGCATCCCGTATGGGTGCTGGTTCTAGTCCTGGCTGCTCCTCTTCTGATCCAGCTCTCTGCTATGGCCTGGGAAGGCAGTAGAAGATGGCCCAAGTGCTTGAGCCCCTGTACCAGTGCGGGAGACCCGGAAGAAACTCCTGGTTCCTGGCTTCGGATCAGCCCAGCTCCGGCCATTGCAGCCATTTGGGGAGTGAAACAGCAGAGGGAAGATTCTCTCTCTCTCTCTCTCTCTCTAACTCTAACTCTGCCTTTCAAATAAACAAATAAATCTTAAAAAAAAAAAAAAGAAAGAAAATGCTTTCATGTTTTCTGACAATTTAACTGAAAAATAAAAAACTCTAGGTTGTCCAAATATTTCATCCACTTTACCAATTTGTTCTTTATTTTCTCAATAAACAGCAACAGGCACCATATTTTCATCTGTGCTACATTTACAAACTATGTCATCTTCACAAGGCTGCAGGAACTCTGTATGACCACACATCTTGGAGGCCCTTGTCTCGGCCCTTGTTTAAGCCTCTGCAGCCACCCCGTCCCTCATCTAAATCCTCCTCTACCACCTCCTCCACCTCAGAAATGGTTGTTGCTGCTCCACCATGGTTGAAACCATCCCTCTCACCACCTCGATTAAAGTCTTCACAAATCTGCCTTGAGAAGACATGATCTCTCCTACCAGCACCACGTGTACCTCTGTCTCCAGGACACAGTGCATTAACCACAAAGCTAAATGAAAAAGCCACATCTGCTTATGAAATATAGTGATTGGAGCAAGCATTTACGACATCACTGTCTGGGTCTGGGTTTCAGTCCTGACTCCCCTTCCACTTCCAGGTTGCTACTAATGCACACCCTGGGAGACAGCTGGTGACAGCTCAAGTAGTTGTGTCCCTGACTGAGTTCCTGGCTCCTGGTTTCAGATTAGCTCAGGCCCAGCCACTGCAGGAATTTGAGGGAGTGAACCAATGGATGGAAGACCTATGTCTCTGTGTCTCTCTTTTGCTGCCTTTCAAATAAAAATAAACAATCAACATTTTAAAAAAAGAAATGCAGTGACTTTCAGTTGTTTAAACTTTGCAGCCATTGTAGCACTGCGCCATCCCAAAGAGATGTTATGTATTTTTTTTTTTATTTTCCTGGTTTTTTTTGTTTTTTGTTTTTTGTTTTTAGTGAGAGAGAGAGAGACAGAAAGGTCTTCCTTCCGTTGGTTACCCCCCAAGTGGCCACCATGGCTGGCATGCTGCACCGATCCAAAGCCAGGAGCCAGGCACTTCCTCCTGGTCTCCCATGCAGATGGGGGCCCAAGCACCTGGGCCATTCTCCACTGTCCTCCCGGGCCACAGCAGAGAGCTGGACTGGAAGAGGAGCAACCAGGACAAAATCAGGCACACAGGCAGAGGATCGGCCCAGTGACCCGAGGCACTGGCTGAGATGTTATGTATTAAGAAAACTAGATAATATCTACAAATCAACACTATACTCATACTCTTAGAAGACATTAGCACAAGAAGCAAGTCAGGAAAAGGAAGCAATAACTTGTGGGAATATTACTTTCCTTAAAATTACTTTATGCTGTGATGCAATAACATCTGGGGATGTCTGTATTAAACATCAGGAAGGAGATGATACGTACCTTCATAGTCCCTTGCTTCATTTAGACTCAAAGAAAACAAAAATGGGCTCTCAGGATGCTTAGGGTCAATATTAGTGAAAATAAACTGCAATTTGTCACCTGAAAAAAGATTAAATTATTTAGTTTGAGAATATTTTAATGTCAAAACTTCCAAAGATAAGTTACCACTGTGATCAACACTCCATTGTTAAGTATGTATTATCCACTTAACCGGTATCTCCAAATGCAAGTTACAAATTAGTTTAAAAATAAATTCTATTTTTAAACTCATTCACTGTTTATTTGAAACACAGGCAGAAACAGACAGAGAGTAGCCATCTGAGGCCGGTGCTGTGGCATAGCAGGTAAAGCCACCGCCTGCAGTGCTAGCATCCCATATGGGTGCCAGTTCGAGTCCTGGCTGCTCCACTTCAATCCAGCTCTCTGCTATGGCCTGGGAAAGCAGTAAAAGATGGCCCAAGTCCTTGGGCCCCTGCACCCATGTGGGAGACCCGGAAGAAGCTCCTGGCTCTTGGCTTTGGATAGGCCCAGCTCCTCTCTCCCTTTCTCCTTCCCTCCCTACCTCTCCACTCTCCCCCAATCCCACCTCTCTGTAACTCTGCCTTTCAAATAAATAAATAAATCTTAAAAAAAAAAAAAAAAAAAGAGCAGCCACCTGCTGGTTTAATCCCCAAATGCGCACAATAAATGAGGCTCCACCATGCTGAAACTGAAGGCCAGGAACTCAACTGAGATCTCCTACATGGGTGGCAGGGAGCCAAATACTTGCACCATCACTTGCTGCCTCCCAGGGTGCACATCGTTAGGAAGCCAGAATTCAGAGCAGAGCTAGGACTGAAACTCAGGTACTCTGATCAAAGAGATGCCAGCATCCCAACTGGCACATTAACTTCTCGGCCAAATGCCCACCCCTTATGTATTTTAAATATAACATCAGGCACAGGAGACAAATGAGTAAATAAATTGAACTTCATTAAGGTTAAAAACAGCCCTTCAAAGGTTACCATCAGGAGAATGAAATGACAACCCACACAATGGGAGAAAATATACATAAATCATACATCCAATATGGGTTAAATACATTAAATGTATTTTAAAACTCCTACAATTGAACAATAATTAAAAAAAAACCTATGTAATGCAATGATGGGTGTAGAACTGAATGCATAATTCTTCAAATATTTACAAATGGTCAATAAGCACAGGAACAATCCTCAACAAAATTAGTTATCAGGGAAATGCAAACAGAAACAACTGATATGGGGCTGGCACTTCTGCCTGCAGCACCGGCATTCCCATATGAGTACTGGTTCCTCTCCTAGCTACTCCTCTTCCAGTCCAGCTCTCTGCTCATGGTCTGGGAAAGCAGTGGAAGATGGCCCAAGTGCTCGGGCCCCTGCACCTGTGTGGGAGACCCAGAAGAAGCTCCTGGCTTTGGATCAGCTCAGCTCTGGCCTTTGTAGCCATTTGGGGAGTGTACTAGCAGATGAAGACCTTTCTCTCTGTCTCTCCCTCTCTTTGTATGTAACTCTGTCCATCAAATAAATAATTCTTAAAAAAAAAAAAAATTACTGCGATGCCATTTCACACTCAAGAGGATGATTATATAAAAACAGGAGGGCTGGCGCCGCGGCTCACTAGGCTAATCCTCCGCCTTGCAGCACCGGCACACTGGGTTCTAGTCCTGGTCGGGGCGCCGGATTCTGTCCCGGTTGCCCCTCTTCCAGACCAGCTCTCTGCTGTGGCCAGGGAGTGCAGTGGAGGTTGGCCCAAGTACCTGGGCCCTGCACCCCATGGGAGACCAGGATAAGTACCTGGCTCCTGCCATTGGATCAGCGCGGTGCGCCGGCCACAGTGCTCTGGCCGCGGCCGCCACTGGAGGGTGAACCAACGGCAAAGGAAGACCTTTCTCTCTGTCTCTCTCTCTCACTGTCCACTCTGCCTGTAAAAAAACAAACAAACAAACAAACAGGAGGAAGTAACGGAGCTGGTGAGAATGTGAGAAACTGTAACCCTCGTTCATTCCTGATAGGAATGTAAAATGATGCAGCAGCTATGAAAAATATTTTGGCAGTTCTTCAAAAAGATAAAATTCACAAGTAGAAAACAGAGTATGACCTACCAATCCCATTCCCGGGTATATGCTCTAAGAACTGAAAACAGACTCAAGCAACTAACCTTGCCAATGGTCACTGCAATGCTATTCACAGAAGCCAAAAGAACTCAGTGTCTACCAATAAATAAGCAAAATGCAGTGTGTGTGTGTTTGTGTGTGTGTATATGTATATATAGGTATACATTACTTAGATATGGCACCTGACTATCCATACAATGGAATATTGTACAATCAAAAACGAACAAAGGTGTGTTATATGCTACAACATGGATGAACTTTGAAAACATAACGTAAGTGAAATAAGCTTGAAACAAAAGGACTAGTACTGTATATATGATTCCCCTTATAGCAAATACCTCAAATGGACAAATTCATAAAGAGAGCACATTAGGTTACTGGGGGCTGGGGAACGGAGGAATGGAGATTTATTATTTACTAGATACAGAGTTTTTGTTTGGAATGATGAAAATTTTTGGAAATAGTGTGTGGTTGGCAATTATCACAATATTGTGCATTTAACCAATGTCACTGAATTATACATATAAATTGTTAAAATGAGGGAAATGCAAATCAAAACCACAATGACATTATCACTTCACTCCAGCACAACTGGCCAAAAAGACAAAAGACAAATGTTGCAAAGAATGAGGAGAAAAAGAGAACTCTGCTACTCTATAGGTAGGAAGGTAAATCAGTACATTGTGTAAAAACAGTATGGAGGTTCCTCAAAAAAATAAAAATAGAATACCATATGACTCAGCAGTCCCACTTCTGGGTATATATCCAAGGAAAACAAAATACATCTGTCAAAATCATATGCACTCTTATGTTCACTGCACCACTATTCACAATAGCCAAGAAATGCAAATAACCTAAATGTCCATCCACTGATGAATGAATAAAAGAAATGTGGTAATATATACAACAGAATATTACTCAGCCATGAAAAGAATGAAATCTTGTTATTTGCAACAACATGGAAAGAACTGGAGGTCATTATGAATTAAGCCAGGCAAGCACAGAAAGACAAATATCCTATGATCTTCCTGGTAGTAGAATCTAAAAAAATGGTAATCTCATAGAAGTAAAGAATATAATTAATCTCATAGAAGTAAAGAATACAATGGTGGTTACTAGAGGCTGGGGAGGGAGAGATGCGGACAGACTGATTGATGAGCACTAGCTTACAGCTACACGTTCTGGCATTCAATTGCACAATATGGTGATTATAGCTACTACTTATATTCTGTACATTTCTGTGCTTTTTTAAAAAAACCTAGAAGATAAGGTTTTGGATGTTTTCACTATAAAGAAATGTTAAATATGTGAAAGGATAAATTTATTTTCCCTGATTTGGATATTATACAATGTATATTTGTAATGAAACATCACATGGTACCCCATACATATACAAAATTTTTCTGTTAAAATTTTTTGTAAAAGTCAAAATGGTGAATTTTACGCTATATATTTGTTAGAACACACACACACACACACAATCATTGAACAGATTTAATTTGACATTCTACGGTTACTGAAAGCTTGTTTTCCAAAAGACCTTCAAATGCTCCTAAAGGAGTAAATGCCTAGTAGAAATTAACAATGACAGCAATGAAGTATAAATTCATATGCATTTTAGTTTTGTTCTAAAGCATATAAAATCTCATTAAAAATTTTCTTAGTTACAAAAAGAAATTCTCAGAAACTTTGAAAAAATTTGTCTTGACATTCAACTTCAAAATGAGAGAATTACGTCAGTACACCAAATCTTTAAACTGTTAATAGTAATGGCAGGGATTCAAGCCAAGGAAAAATATTTTCTAAGATATTCAATTAAGTAAAATAAAGGGTTTGAATTTTCTCTTCCTTATGGAAAATAAAACCAAAGTGCCTTCCTCATTCTCTCACTCAACCATCAACACAGAATACTTCTATAAGCAGATGTGTTGGGATTTTCCTCTACACACTAAACAATCAATTAATTCTGGGATCCGCTAATTCTAATACTATCTACTATCTACCCGGATATCAGTGTCACATCCTGCAGGTTGAGGCCTCACACCCACAAAACTGTCCCCCACCTGAGGCTGCTGTACCTTAGAAAAAGCCTGCTCACCTGACTGACTCACAGCTGCTGTGTCTTGGGTCCCTACAATGACCCCAGGCTTGAGGTCTCACTATTGGGACTCATAGGACTCACACAGCATACAGCCATACTTAGGACAGAAGACAGCAGTACCAGCAAAGAGAAAAGATGCACAGGGTAAAGTCCAAGCTTCCCAAGTCTAACAAGCTTTCTCCTGTTGTCACAATTCAGTCCTGGAGGAATTAAACACATCCTGTTGGATTCCACTACATTAGGACTCTCAAAAGCTTGTATCTGGTTTTCTTTAGACTTTGTACTGTTATTTTTTTTTTTGTCCTTTTGCCGCAATAAATCCTAGCTGTGAGTACAATTATAGCAGAGTCCCTTATCTGTGGTTTCACTTGCTGTGGTTTCAGTTACCTCCAAACAACCATGGTCAGTAAAGGATTAGATGGGGGCTGGAGGCCTGGCACACAGAGACTTGTGATGTTGGCATCACATAACTGAGTGCTAGTTAAGAGACCCTGCCACCCATGTGGGAGACCCAGATGGAATTCCTGCCTCCTGGCTTCAGCCTGGTTCAGACCTGGCTGTTATAAGGCATTTGGAGAGTGAACAGCAGATGCAGATCTCTCTCTCTCTCTCTGTTACTCTTTCAAATAAACAAAAAAGCTTTTAAAAAATATTAAAGAACTTCAGAAATAAACAACTCATACAAGTTTTAAATTGTGTACCATTCATGAGCCCAATGAAATCTCTCGCTGTTATTATGCGGGCCTGAATATCTTAATCTCCATTGAAGGTCCCTAGCCCCATAGAGATAAGAATTCCAAGTGGATACATACAAATACCCATTACACAGACACACACACACACACACACAAAAACAAGGATTTATTTACCAATCAGGGAATAAACATACATTTGTGTGAGTGTGAGCTGCTCCACATGGAGGAAAATCAGGAGTGAGCGAGGGTGGCCCATAAAACAAAGAGGGTGCCTCCAAGCATTTGCCTGTTCTCAGCCTCTTTATGATGGGGCATGAGCACATGCCCTGGATTGTGATGAGACAGGCGCATCCCGGGAAAGTGGGCGTATCAAACTTACAGTTGAAGAGATAAGGTTGCATTGCAGGGTTGTGAGAAAGTAGCTGCTTAGTAGCACCCTATGGTTCCAATTCCTCTGGCCCAGGAATGTGAATCATCCCCTTTGTCCAATGTATCCATGTTGTATATGTCACCTGCTGTTAGCCACTTGGTAGCCAACTCAGTCATCAGACCAACTGTCACCGCATGGCAGTGCTTGTTTTCAAGTGACTTACTTCACTAGCATAGGAGTAGAGATGAATTGGAAGATGACAAAGAAAAGTCATCAAATGCTTCCTTTAAGCAAAAAGGTAAAAGTTTATCATAAGTGCCTACACATAGGAAAGACCCCAGTATATATAGGATTTGGTACTCTCCTTGGCTTCAGGCATCCAATAAGGGTTTAGAAGTTAATCCCCCAAAGATTTAGAGGGACATCTGCTTATGCTGAAACCTGAAAGTGTTCCCATTGAATCATCAAAGCTCAAATGTTGCAGAAAATTAGCACATTTACATGTAACAGACATACAAATATGGATTTTTACCAATAGTTCCTTTTTAGAAAACAATTCTATGGAAATTGCACTATTAAACAAGGAAGTCTAAGTTCATTGTAGTTATTTTAAAAACTGGCAGAATCCAAATGTTAGAAGCAATACATGTACTAAACATTAGGTAAAAAAACTGAATTATGCTATATTAATAGAATGACTGAAATCATGGTAAAAAAAAATTGCCATTATGAAGACTACAGCAACTGGAGAAATGCTGACACAATACCAGTATGAAAAAAAAATATTTGCATGTTGATAAACATGCCAAAAAAACATTTATATATAGTGGTTGATAAATAAAGCATCAGTTATCCTTAGGTGATTTTAAAAAAAACTTGAAATGTCCTATTTTCTGAAAAAGTTAATAATGTGGTCAATATTTTGGTTGGAAATTTTAAAATATTTTTATTTTTTATTTATCTGAGATGCAGAGATGGATAAGAGGGAGCGAGAGAGAGAGAGAGAGAGAGAGAGATCTGCTATTCACTGGTTTACTCCCCAAATGGCTGCAATGGCCAGAGTTAGGCCAGGCTGAGGCCAAGAGCCTGGAACTCCACCCTGTCTCCCATGTAGGTGCAGGGGCCCAACGGCTTGGGCCATCTTCCACTGCTTTCCTAGGCACATTAGCAAGGAGCTGGATCAGAAGTGGAGCAGCCAGGACTTGATCCAGCACTCATATAGGATACTGGAGTTGCAGAAGGCAACTTAATCCACTGCGCCATAATGCCAGTCCCTTAGCGAGAAATGTTTTAAGAATTTTCCTTGGGGCAGGCACTGTGGCAAAGCGGGTAAAGCTGTCACCTGCACTGCTAGCATCCCATATGGACACTGCTCCGAGTCAAGGCTGCTCCACTTCCAATCCAGCTCTCTGCTATGGCCTGGTAAACCAGCAGAAAATGGCCCAAGTCCTTGAGCCCTTGCACCCACATGGGAGACCCAGAAGAAGCTCCTGGCTCCTGGCTTCGGATCGGTGCAGCTCTGGCCGTTGTGGCCATTTCAGCAATGAACCAGCGGATGGAAGATCTCTCTCTCTGCCTTTCCTTCTCTCTCCTGTGTAACTCTTTCAAATAAATAAATCTTAAAAAAAAAAAAAAGAATACTCCTTAACAGAAGACATACTTTTTAAGTCTCCATGATTCACTTATATTAATACACTTACCATATATTTTTCGAATTTCCAGTCCAAGGCGATCTTTATACAAGTCCGCAGATTTCTGCAGCCTTTTCAACCTCTCTTCATTAGCTTTGTTGGCAGTGGAGATAGCTATGGTTTAAACACACATACACATAGTTATCACATATTTTAAATAATACTGAACACTCACTGAATTTATAAGAACTTGAAAAAAAAAAAGCTATGAACATAATGCCAAGCACATGAATCTGTTTGTATCTACTGGGTTTTTCTCCACTGATTAACAAAAAGAGCTTTCTATTCATTCAAAATGGAAGAAAAAAAATGAGAATATATGTACAAAGGGGGAGAAAAGCAAGTTCTGCCTTGTTTTATGATGTTGTAGCATGAATACATAACCCATGGACTTGCATGACTAACCATCATAGGAAAAGAAAGACTTCCTTTACATTGTTTTAATTTTTCTGGATAGCTAAGGATATGCTAATTGCTTCATGGGAAAAATACTCCATTCCTTGAAGCAAAATCATCTCTCAGAACAAGTCAGCCTTATTTCATGCTAGTTTAAGATTTAAAAAAAATTAATTCACTTATTTATCTACTTATTTTAAAGGCAGAGAGACAGAGACAGACACAGAGATCAATCTGCTGGTTTACTCGCCAAATGCCTGCAACAGCCAGGGCTGGGCTATTCCTAGGCCAGGGTCTCCTCTATGGGTAGCAGCGACCCAACTACTTAAGCCTTAACCTATTACCATACAGGGCACACATTAGGAGGAAGCTAGAACCCAGAGGGAAGCCTGGCCTTGAACCCAGGCACTGTCATGGAATGCAAGAGGGATCTTTACCACACAGGCAAATATCCTGTCCTAGAATGCTTTTTTTTTTTTTTTTTAAAGCTAGCACAACTGTTCCTAAGTAATACTTAGCATATGAGAAAAATAATTTCATAATTTAGGCTTGGATAAGAACTCTGTAAGATAAAGCATTAAGAAAGCAAATCTTTGGGGCCAGCACTGTGGTGCAGCAGGTTAAAGCCCCAGCCTGCAGCACCAGCATCCCATATGGGCGCCAGTTCAAGTCCTGGCTTCTCCTCTTCCAATCCAGCTCTCTGTTATGGCCTGGGAAAGCAATAGAAGATGGCCCAACTCCTTGGGCCCTGCACCCATGTGGGAGACCTGGAAGAAGCTCCTGGCTCCTGATCAGCTCAGCTCTGGCCATTGTGGTCATTTGGTGAACCAGTGGAAAGGAAGACCTCTCTCTCTCTCTGGTTCTACCGCTCCCTGTAACTCTTTCAAATAAAATAAAATAATTCTTTAAAAAAAAAAAAAAGCAAGCAAGCAAATATAGCTCTTTTCGAGATGTAATGAATTGTCTGTTTAGTCTGTGGGCATAAAAAGGTCAAGGCTGCCTTCTAAATGAAGCATTCATTTGCATATAGAAGTTTTCTAAATAAAAAGGTCTTGCAGCATGGTATGTAAACTCCTGTGAGCACACTTCAAAAAGTTCATGGAAAATGGAATTAAAAGATGTAATATACATATCTCACATTAAATCCTGGCAGAGAATAGCCAAGAAATATTTATTTCATAAATAGCACTAAGGTTTCTCCAAGGCAAATTTTCTTTAGTGACACTGTCTCCCACTCTGCTTGATTAAATTCTCAGATCAATTTCAATATTACTCTGGTGACTGTAGAAATCAAGAGAGAAGTAAAACAAAACGAAACAACAACACAACAGCCCACTTAGTTAACTGTACTGCCACCTTGCAGAGAGGAGTAGCTGGCTAAGCCTGAGGTATTTTCACTCATTTGAAGTGAGGAACAAGAACAAGATGCACATAATAACTGTGAAACATCACTCTGAAATTTAGGGTAACGTTTTAAATATGTTTACAACTGGAAACTTACTTTCCTTCTTCCTAGAATACTCTTCCTTAAGATCCTGGATGTTTCTTCTAAGGTCTTCCAATTTCTGCTTTTTGTCTTTTACTTCAGCAATCAGTTTACAAGTATCTTTTCTCTTATCACTCATCTGTCTGTGACTCGTAGTACAGTATAGCTAAAATACATGTTTCACACTACCATTTATCTAAGACCAAAATGTATTGACTTGTATAAGATTAATGAAGAATGTTTTAACCGATGAGCATTTCCTAATGACTTAAAAAAACATAATTCCTAATGACTGTAAAAGACATAAAAAATTTCTATTTTTTTTCTACTTGTGTTTGAAAACAAAAATGAGACAGAATGTCTTTTATGTGGGAATACTAAATTAAATCAAAATAGAAAAATCAGCTCACCTACTCTAAGTACATAAATTAAACTCACCACCATAGACAACAAGACCCTAGAAGATGGCTTTACATGGGCTTTGAAGAAAACACTAATTCTAATGCTATATATATAAAGTATCTGGATCATACCAAAAAGATAGAAGGTGAAGAAGGCAAATAGGCAGCAGGCATATATTATGCAGTAAACAAATTCTGAAAACTAAATTCAATAAAGATGATTCCTCTACCTACAACCACATAATTAAAGACATAAGTATAAAAATATTTAATAAAATATTAACATATTAATAAACTAAGAGCAAACACAGTGTATATTAAGGATTAACAATGAAGGTATAATAGTAGGGAAAACTGTCAAATAACAAGCATTGAAGGGAGTTTTTATACATTCAACACCCACTCTTGATAGAGATTCTTAATCCAGAAGTACAAGGATATTTCTTTAATATGATAAAACAAAACCTCTCTTATCTTCTAATTTACTTAAAGTAAACACTAAAGGCATTCCACAAAGACTAAACAAGGGTATCTGATGTCACTGTTATTTAAAATTTTCCCTAAAAGTTTCTGTCTAACCCAAGACTTATAACCAGTGAAATCACTGGAAAGGAAAAGATAATTGCCAATGTATTTAGACAATAGACATCTATCTAGAACACTCAAGAAAAATCTACTAAAAATCTGTATTTATAACACCAAATACCACAAAATCAACAGTTTTTATAAATTATACAAATAATTAATATATAGGTAAGTATGGTTATGTCTATGTTAATATTAATAACTACAAAAATACTGTTTGCTACCCTATGCTTTTTTAAAAAAAATTGAGACAGAGACTGAACCATCTGCTGCTTCACTCCTCAAATGCTCAAAAGCCAGGAGCCAGAAGGCAACCCAGGTATTTCATGTGTGAAGCAAGAATCCAACGACCTGAGCAATCGCCACTGGCTGCCAATGTCTGCCTTAGTGGGAAGCTAGATTACAAACTTAAACAGTATGTTACTGTACTGAACCGGCAACTGCAGCACAATGCCGAGACCTAAGTAAGTAATAGGAATTTTTCAGCTATAATTTTATGAGAGTACCACTGTGATATGTGATCTGTCATTGGCTTAAATATTATGTGGCCAGCAATTATATTAAGTACACTTTAAAAATAAACATCAGAATTTCCAGAAAGAAATACAATAGCAATTAACAGAAATTATTTAGTAGGATTATACTGCAAAAGAAATCCAGATTTAAAGTCAAAAAGTCTCAGTTTCAATCCCACTCATCAGTTGTTACTCAGGAACCCCCATCATGTTAAAACCTATGGAAAACCATCACTTGTTTGTAAAACAGTGGTTCACAATTGCTGCCTCACTCAATACCTCACAGGGTTGCAGTACCCAATAATAATGTAAAAACTAACATAGAAATAGTATGTATGTGTTTTTATTATAACACTTGAACTGTGCAGACTTATAGCAATATAAATGTTAAGGCCCTCAGCATTGCATGGCTACCTTTAAAAAAAAAAAAAAAAGATTGCATTTATTTACTTGAGAGGTAGAGTTAGAGAAAGGTCTTCCATCTGCTGGTCCACTCCCCAAATGGCCACAATAGCCGGAGCCAGGAGCTTCTTCTGGGCCTCCCACATGGGTGCAGGAACCCAAGCACTTGGGCTACCTTCTACTGCTTTCCCAGGCCATTAGCAGAGAGCTGGATTGGAAGAGGAGCAGGTAGGATCCAAACTGGCACCCATATGGCACGCTAGCGCTGCAGGCAGAAGCTTAGTCTACTATACCACAGTGCTTGCCCCTACATGGCTACTATTTTATGCATACACAGCTGGCAGATTCTTCATTCCCCAGGGACTGTATTTCAAACATTCTCTAGCACTCAGCACAGAAACCCCTCCACCCCTGCAACTTCCTTCCAAAATGTAAAAGTATGGAACACTGGGAAGAATGCAGTATGCATTGGAAAGAATAGGGTAGCATTTTGTTTGCTATCCTAGACCTGATGTCTTCCTAATGTTTGACTTTAGGCAAGTTTCTTAACCTCAGTGAATTTCAACTCCCTCATATGTAGAAAAAAGATAATCTCTATCTTACACAAACTTCAGGACTTGCCCAGAATAAATGTCTCTCTCTTCTCTTCTTTCTTAAAGATTTATTTATTTAATTGAAAGGCAAAGTTACACAGAGGGAGACAGAGACATATCTTCCATCCGCTGGTTCACGCCCCAAATGGCCACAACAGCCAGGGCTGGGCCAGCATGAAGCCAGAAACCAGGAATCCTTTCTGGGTCTCCAACATGGTGGCAGGGGCCCAAGAACTTCGGCCATCTTCTGCTGCTTTTCCAGGCACATTAGTAGGGGACTGGATCAGAAGCAGAGCAGCCAGGCCTTGAACCAGCACCCATATGGAATGCTGGTATTGCAGGCAGTAGCTTAATCAAAATTTAGTTACCAACAGCTCATTTTCCTCTATGTGATAACTAGATAGAACAGATGTTCAAGGAAGGCCACAAACTAGGGCTATTTTGTTCTCTGCAGTCTCTCTGTAGAAGAGTACCTGGCACAGGGTAGCAGCTCAGCAAACATTAAGTGACTGAATGAATCTCTACCACCTATCATACTCCCAAAATATTACCAGCATCAGATTTCACCATAGTGGGCCTATCTGTGACTTCTCCGTGTTGACAACAGCCTTTCTTAGTTCTTCCCTCTTCAGTTTCTGTGAACTTCTAGCTTCTTTTGCATTCCAGTTGCTCACTCTGACCCTTCAATTTACCTCCCTCTCAAATTACAGGGAGGCAATATAATGTTCTGAATGTGAGTCAATAGGATTGCAGCAAATCACTAATAAAAGCAATACCTACTTTGAAAACTGTCATGAAGAATGGAGGAGCTGGTGTATGTAGAGTTGAACACAGTACTTAGCACACAGAACAACTCACAACTATCCGAGGCTTTCTTCTTTCACCCTATCCACTCGTCCACAACCTCAACCCCTCAGATACACTGAAGATGACCAAATCTTTAACTTCAGAAAAGACCACTTCCCCAGCTGGCTTCCAGATAGATATACCCACAGCCTATCAGACTTCACAACCCGCAAGGCCCAAAACCTAACACCTCAACATATTCCCTTAACACATTTAAAAAACCAACCCACCTGCATCTTTCCCTCCCCTAGAAACACCTTTCTCCTCTTCTGATGCATCACTTAGTAAACACACCACCACTGATCATGCTGGGCCACACCCTCACTGTCAGCCCAGTGGACACGAGTCTACTTCCTCAGACTGTCACTGACCTAAGACATCCCTGTTGTCTGCCAGGACCAGTGCACTGGCTTTTCTGTACCCACCATCTCACTCCCCTGCTTAATATGTGTGAGACTGCTAGAGTGCTTTGCTGAATTATAAACCCAGTATCATTTTCTAGTTAAAATCCTGTAGCAACTCCTAATCTCCTAAGAAACAAGCCTAAACTTCTTTGTACAACATATGATGTCCATGCCCTGGCCAACCAGCTCTCCTTCCAGCCACTTCTCTGCCCCTCCCACCCACACTGTACTCTAGCCGTCCCAGAACTCAACCAACTCTCCTGCTTTTGTCACACTGCTGTTCCCCCTTCTCAGAATGTAGTGATGAATCTGACAAACTTCCCCTCCCCACCTCTATGTGATCTTCGCCAGGGCAGTGTGGTAGCATCAATGTAGAGGCTCAATCTTGTTTTTACTCATTATTAGCTGCCTGACCTGGGCAAGTTACCTAAACTCTCTGTACCTACTTCTTCATCTATAAGGTCAGGTAAAGACAGTGTCTAGACTTCTTAGGATTCAACAAGTCAATATATGCAAAGAGCTTAATATAACACCTGACACGTGATGTACTTTAGGTAGATGTTAGTTATTAAATATTCTGCAATGCTCACTGGAGTCAAGCCCTCCATATTCTGCACTCATTTAGCCCCCATTCCATTATTATACCAACTATTAAAATATCTTTTAATTGTGGCTTCCCAGTCCATACACCACTAACTTGTGAGATTACACTTTATACATGGCTGCTTTCTTAATGCTGGGCAATAGTAGTCAAATATTCATTAAATTTAGATAAATTATATTTTTGTTCAAGTATAAAGTTTTTTTTTGAAAAAATTGATAGTGCTTTTTTATACAGCATTTAGAGTATAAGTTCACATTACAGAGAAATTTTTAAGAGTACTTTAATATAAAAAATGAGTTTCAAACTTAACTTTCTAAGCCCTAAGAGTTCTACAGACCAAAGACCCAAATTCAGCGTCACTCCTGCATACACAAAGCCAAGCAAGTTTTTCCTTTTTGCTTACAGTTACAGAAGGAATGAAAGAAGCAGTGGAAGGGCATGGAAATGCCCAGCTTAGAAAGTAAACACGGGGAAAAAGTCAGGCATAGGAACCTATCAAAGGTAAGGAAGTTAACTGTCTTCATGAGCCACACACAATTGGTAACATGGGCAAAGCAAAGAAAAAGGGGATTTTACCAACAGCAGCAAAAGTACAGAGACTCAGATTACTAACCCTACCCCAAGGAGCAGAGAAACTTCAACCTGCCAATCCCTACGCTAGGATTTCCATTGTAAAAGCAAACATGTTTAAAAATATATACATATATATATATATATATATGCTGGCTTAGATAAATCTCACATGTAGAATGCTGAATGAAAAATCAGGATAAAACAGAAACAAAATCATGCAATTTCTATTATAATCAAAAACAATACTAGCCAAAAATATGAATAGGTTAGTTCTAGAAAGCAGGAGAAGAGGAAGGTAGAACACGAGATGTTCTATTTCTTGAGCTGGCTGGTGGGCACATAAGTGTATTTTTTTAATATATGAATGTGTCTGCACATATAGCATGTGTATAAACACACGTACTGCACTGCTTCACATGTATGAGCGGCTGTGTGATAAAGATGCGTAATCTAAAAAAACTTTGTGAGCTACTGTTACTCACGTACGATTTTTATATTCCAGATACATCTCAATCATTCGTTCTTCTTCCTTCAGTTTCACAGACAGTTTTTCTGAAAAAGAAATTGAACTTTCAATTCAGCTGAAGGAATAGTAGAAAATAAACAAGAACCGCAAAAACAGCCCGTTCCGAGACAGCAGGTACCTGTAAGTGACTTGACCGAGTCCTTGTAGGCGTCTCTTAGCCCCACCATCTGACAAGGAGCGTCACTCAGAGTGCTTCTGAACTTGCTCCCAAATTCATTTATGCTTTTATCGAACAGTGCCAGCTCGTCCTCCACCATTTTGCAAGGCAATGCTACAAAACACGCAGAACACACTCTGTATTTTTAAAGTGTTACTGAAATCAAATCAACCACGTATTCCAACCTAGTGCATTTTGGCAATTTAGCTTTTGGGAGAAAACGGCTAGCAACTTACCTTTAACTCTAGATACTCAGGGTAGATCAAGTGCCCCGGGCTTAACTGTGCTTAAAGGGGCAGCAGGAATCCAAGGCGCCTTCACCTCCTAAGGCCCTGTTAGTAGGTCAGTGTGCGAGACACTCTTAGCATCCTGGGAAACGACACCGACTCCGTTCCTATCACAAGTAAAACTGGTGACATCTAAGGTGACGTCCAACTCTATCCCCTCCGGAGTCCAGCATCGAGAGTCGGGAGGCCCCTCCCCGCCCGGCCTCTAAAAACCACAAGTCTACTGCGCCTCTCCCTCCCACCCCCGACCCCGACGCGAGCAAGAAAGTGGACGGCCGAGTGGGCACTTAGCCGGCTCAGTCCAGGACGTGTACCAGTCACCTTTCCAGGAGGGGCAGAGTCATCTCGCTCAGCGAAACCCGCAACCCTTCGGCGAGGCCGCTACCCACCCCTCCAGGCCCAAGGGCTGGAAGCGAAAGGACGCGCATTTCACAGATGCCGCCCGACATACGTACACACGTCCCGTCCCCAAGCCCACGGTCTCCTACCGTAACACGAGGGCCCAGCTCGGCACCCACCCTCCCTCACCTTGGCGGGCAGGCCTTAGCCCCGCCGCCTTCCACGCACTAAAATCTGCGCCACCTCCAGCCGAAACCCAGTCTTCAGCTCCCGCAGCCGCGCCAAATTTCTGATTTCAAACACAGCGTCCTCCCGCCAACCGCTTCCGCTCCCATTCGCCTTCTGATTGGCTAATAGCACAGACTCTCCATGAAGGGATTGGTTGAACGCAACTCCTGGAATTATCGCGGGAACAGATGGGGAGAAGTGCATTCTGGAACTCGTAGTCCTTTTCTGAGCCAAGTCCCACTCTAACTGCGCCTTGGGAAGTAGGAGTAACTTCTGAAGGGCTCGCCCCAGGACGGTCCTTTCATCAGCTTCAAATAAAGCTTTCTGCGCAAATGTGAATGTGGAACTTTAACCTTACTCTTTTGTGACGGCTATATTCTCTTCTTTATACTTATCCTGTAACGTTGACTCCAAGTAATAGTGGACAGAAACATCCAGGTGGTCTCAGAGTAAGTTCTTACTGTTTACAAAAACGTCCTCCTTTTGTCCTCCCCCAGCCTGTGTTTTCAAGGTCTAGGAGAACAACATGTTAATATCTTGAAGAACTTCAAACTGGTAGGGACTAGAACACCGTCAAAACCATCTGCCATGCCGCCTGAAGACAGGAAAGAGGCACAAGCCATTCGACTCCTATTTCTTAAAAAGTGGGGAAGCTGCATTGTCCAGGAACCCCAGATAGGTTAGACAGATGTGCTATTTAACCGTACTGGCAAAGCTGAGAAAAAAGAAAAACAGGGCAAGGACCAGAGAACATAAACAGTAGAAAATAAAGATGCCTATGACTAGGAAGTCCGAGTTCTTATTTCATCTTTGACTGTGGTGTATATGTTAAAATAAAGCCCCTGATTATAGGTCAAAAGGACTTTCCTGCTGTTTCTTTTCATTATCATTAATAATCCAAACAAAGCCAATAACATAATTGGCATGCTCGGCAGTACCAGATATCAGCCACTCTGTTCCCAGAACTAAACTAAGACCTATAAAATCAGGGAAAGCTACTGCTGTTAATGTTTAATACATCACAATGTACTTGAAATTCAACTTCCATCCTAAAGAATATAAATAATCTAAGACATACTTAATTTGCTGTGAAATCTTCTTTCATTTTACAAATATTTGCCCAAGAACTCCCTTAAGTATGTGAACCTTTTTTTTGTTTATATATTTATTTTTATTTTAGAAGAAAAGAAAAAGAGACAGAGAGAGAGAGAGAGAGAGAGAGTGAGCGAGATCTTCCATCCACTGGTTCATGCCTGCAACAGCCAGGGTTCAGCCAGGCCAAAACTAGGAACCAAGAACTGTATCTGGGCTTCCCATATGGGTGGTAGGAACCCAAGTACCTGAGCCATGATCTATGCTTCTCAGGATGCACATTAGCAAAAAGCTGTATCAGTAGTGGGAACAGGGCCTGATCCTAGGCTCTCCAATATGAGATAGGAATGCCTCAAGCTTTGGATTAACCAGCTGTGCCACAACAACTGCTGGTGCCAAGAATTTCTGGTTTTGGCCAGCGGTGCAGCGCACTAGGCTAATCCTCCACCTGCGGCACCAGCACACCGGGTTCTAGTCCCGGTCAGGGCGCCGGATTCTGTCCTGGTTGCCCCTCTTCCAGGCCAGCTCTCTGCTGTGGCCAGGGAGTGCAGTGGAGGATGGCCCAAGTGCTTGGGCCCTGCACCCCATGGGAGACCAGGAAGAAGCACCTGGCTCCTGGCTTCAGATCGGCACAGCGCACCGGCCACAGCAGCCACTTAGGGGGTGAACCAACGGCAAAGGAAGACCTTTCTCTCTGTCTCTCTCTCTCTCACTGTCTAACTCTGGCTGTCAAAAAAAAAAAAAAAAAAAAAAGAATTTCTGGTTTTAAATATCCTGTAGTGTATACCTCAAAGCAACATCCATGGGCTGGCCTTCCCAGAACGTAAGCTTAATGAGTGATGGTGCTCCTGTCTAGGGTTCACTACTGTGGATGAGTGAACATGGTGATTAGTAAGATTCATGGAAGGGAATGACCATGTGCATGAATTACTCAATGGTTTTTACACTGGCCTTTATTAGGCTGTTGAGTGACGATTCTAGCTCTCTTCAGACCTTGTACTAAGGGGAGTGATTGCCCCACCAATGTGTTGTCTTGAAGGTGGCCCCTGGGGCCATTGTTTTTTGTTCTTTCTTAGGATTCCTCAATCAAGGTGTGAGGGGGAAATTTTCAAAATTTTCATCTCTGGAAGACTTGGCTGAATGATGTTTCTGTAATTCTCTCAAGTATAAGAACCAGCTCTTCTTTCTGCTTATCACACATAACAGGGCCGCCAGCATGCTCGGGTTTAGAAAGGAGAAAGCGGCCAGCGCCTCGGCTCACTAGGCTAATCCTCCGCCTTGCAGCGCCGGCACACTGGGTTCTAGTCCCGGTGGGGGCGCCGGATTCTGTCCCGGTTGCCCCTCTTCCAGGCCAGCTCTCTGCTGTGGCCAGGGAGTGCAGTGGAGGATGGCCCAAGTGGTTGGGCCCTGCACCCCATGGGAGACCAGGAAAAGCACCTGGCTCCTGCCATCGGATCAGCGCAGTGCACCGGCCGCAGCACGCCAGCCGCGGCAGCCATTGGAGGGTGAACCAACGGCAAAGGAAGACCTTTCTCTCTGTCTCTCTCTCTCACTGTCCACTCTGCCTGTCAAAAAAAAAAAAAGAAAAGAAAAGAAAGCAGACATTCCCCATCACCAGCCAACCACCACCTCCATCACCACATTTATGGTCCTTTCATTTCAACCCTACGAAGTTTTATTGAAGTGCCATGTCATGAGATGGGCACTGCCTTCTCTGGGGTATAGAGATAAACCTACCAGGATTGGTTTTCCTTATGGTAAGGAATAGAAAGATGGAATATCTTCCAAGTCTGGAGGTGTTTCTAGGTAGTTGTTATAAGAAGAATTAATCAGAGTAAGTGAAAGCTCCATTGCTTATTATTTTTTAAAAGTTTTTATTTACTGGAAAGGCAGAGAGGGGAGGGGAGGGGAGAGGAGAGGAGAGGGGAGGGGAGGGGAGAGGAGAGGAGAGGGGAGAGGAGGGGAGAGGGGAGGGGAGGGGAGGGGAGGGGAGAGGGGAGGGGAGGGGAGGGGAGGGGAGAGGGGAGGGGAGAAGAGAAGAGAGGAGAGATGAGAAGAGAGGAGAGGGAGAGGAGAGGGATATCTTCCATCCACTGGGGGGCTGGGCCAGGCAGAAGCCAGGAGCCTTCTTCCAGGTCTCCCATGTGGGTGCAGGTGTCCAAGTACTTGGGCCATCATTTGCTGCTTTTCATGGCACATTAGCAGGGAACTGGATGGGAACTGCAGCAGCTGGAACTCGAACCAGTGCCCACATGGAATGCTGGCACCACATGCAGCGCCTTTACCTGCTACACTACAATGACAGTCCCACTTCTTCCCTTAAAAAGTTAGTATCTTCTCCAATGGGTGAAGGATCATTGAGTACCTAGAGAAGAGGCCATCGTCTATGGCACATATCCTGCTGAGTAGGTATTTCAATCTTTAAGGCACAGCTGAGGATAGAAATGACAATGAGGAATGACATTGTTTACACCTGAAGTTTCCCACCTTAATTAGTATAAGGATCTCTGTGATATCCACATTTATGCTGAACCCCTCCCCCCCAAATACTTCCACTGAGAAAGTAAGAAATGATAAAATCTACTAAGAATTCAGAAGGGAAGAAAGCTCTCCCTGCAGATTACAGATTAGGAACCTATGACACACAGAAAATGCTTGCTGTTGGGGCTGGTGCTGGGGCATTGCGGGTAAAGCCACTGCCTGCGACATTAGCATCCCAAATTGCTGCCAGTTCAAGTTCTGGCTGCTCCATTTCTGATCCAGCTCCCTGCTAATGCACCTGGGAAAGCAGTGGAAGATGGCCCAAGTACTTAGGCCCCTGCCCACCCAATGTGGGAGACCTGGAAGAAGCTCCTGGCTGCTGCTCTAACCACTGTGGTCATTTGGAAAGTGAACCAGCAGATGGAAGCTCTCTCTATATATAACTCTGCTTTAAAAAAAAAAGATTTATTTATTTATTTGAAAGTCAGAGTTACAGAGAGGAGAGGCAGAGAGAGAGAGAGAGTCTTCCATCCATTTGTTCACTCTCCAATTGGCTGCAATGGCTGGAGCTGCGCCGATCCAAAGTCAGGAGCCAGGAGCTTCTTCCAGGTCTACCACGCGGTTGCAGGGGCCCAAGGACTTGGGCCATCTTCTACTGCTTTCCCAGGCCATAGCAGAGAGCTGGATCAGAAGTGGAGCAGCCAGGATGCGAACTGGCGCCCATATGGGATACTGGCATCGCAGGCAGCAGCTTTACCAGCTATGCCACATCGCCAGTCCCTAAATATATATTTTAAAAAAAAAACAAAATGCTTGCTGCATTTCTAAGACTCTCGAATGAGAATTTGAAATCCTCTAGATTTCTGCGTGGCTTGTGTCAGAAAGTACTAGACTAGATCATTCAAGAAAATGAAGCTTCCAATAACTGCTATAATTGAAGCACTGTATCCACATGGATAATCTTTAGCACTGGGTTTCAAATGCATTCTTTCATCTTCTCCCCAGAATTAAAAAGTAAAATGAATGAAACACTGAGATCTCCAGAAGGGAGAAGTGAAGAAGTCACTACATATTTTCTCCTGAAAAGAAACAATAAAAGTGGCCAAAATTATCAAAAGCAATCAATTTAATGCCCAGGAAATTGACTAAAAAGGCTTATGCATACTGAGAAAATATTTATTCCTGAAAAACTGTTATGCTAAGTGAAAGCGTTCAGATGCAAAAGACTACAAATTGTGTGATTCCATTTATAAGAAATAACCAGAAAAGGCAGAACGGGAGAGACAGAAAGCAGTTTAGTGGTTGCCTGGAGCTGGGGGCAGAAGCAAGCCCTGCCTGACAAGGGGCACACGAGAATCCCTGGGGATGACGCTCCGCAGTGATTCTCAACTCTACAGACACTGAAGATGATCTGAATTGTACATTTCTAATGGTGGTGTCTGGGAGACATAAATTATGCCTCAATAAAATTGTTTAGAAGAGTAAAGCTTTAGAGCTTCAGAGCAAAACACAAAAAAGAGTGTATTTCAAATGCATTCTAAGATTCAATGT